CCACTGTTTCCCAGTTCTGTTTTGCTTCTGTTGGCTCCTACTTCATTCTCCCTTCTGCTCTACTCATAAAAAGAGATCCCACTTAATCAGTGATCACACAGTGAATGGAATGACTGCACAATCAGAATTGAATGACTACACAATACAGCCAGTCAGCTTAGCTTATGCTGTGTAATCATAAGGATTAATGAGAATGGGGAGAAATGAAATGAATAAGTAAACATTTTCAGAACTACTGAAAAGTTCATATATTTTCCAGCACAGCTACAACACACAAACGCACATTTAAAAGCCCCAAAATTTGTTTATTATTACCATTTATAGTAAATACTAGGGGCTCATAACAGAGTGTAAAAAGTTATTTCTAAAAGTAATTGGTCAAAATTCCCATTTCAGCCCCTTCCTTATATCATTATACCAAAAATTAATTTTGGCTATATCAACAGGAGCATACTATCCAGACTGAGGGAAGTAGTAGTTCTATTTTATTCTGCTTTGGTTAGAGTAGCACGTAGCAAGTACATTTCTATACTGCTTATCAGTGCACTTAAGCACTCCCTAAGTGGTTTACAATGTGTAAGCTAATTGCCCCCAACAACCTGAGTACTCATTTTTGCAACGTTGAAAGGATACAAGCCTGAGCCCTTGGCCCGTACTGAACTCACAACCTTGTGGTTTATGAATGAGTGGCTGCAGTACAGGCATTTAACCACTGCACCACCAGAGCTCACCTAGAGTTCTGGGCAACACAGTTCAACATGCTGGAGCATGTCCAGAGAAGGGTAGCCAAATGATTTTTTAGAAGTCTGGAAATCACTTAAGGAGCATGTTTAGCATGAGAAGAGAAGACTTAAAGGTGACATGATAGCTATCTTTCAATATCTGAAGGGATATAATGTAGAAGATGGAGCAAGCTTGTTTTCTGCCATTCTAGAGGCTAGAACACAAACTAATGGATTATCTCACCTGTTTCACAGCATCAGAATTTGTCAAGACCATCTGGCACCCTGGTCTGGAAAATGACATGGATGTTGTTACTGAAAGGAACTGGAGCAATAGTAACAGGGTTACTACAGTTCAAGTGGCAGGTGCATGAGTCAGCATTTGGTAAGCTGTGCATCATGGGAAGTCCTGATGCAACATGCACAGTGGATGAGATAAGCCAGGTATGCATCATGGAAGGACTGATGCAACAGTACTGATGCAACAGGCACTGGGGATGAAAGCAGCAAGGTTTCAATAGTACATGGTTAGAATCATAGAATCATAG